ACACACACACACACACACACACACACACACATACAACACACACACACACACACACTCCTACCTCCCCAGAAATCCCGAGGAGGCGCACAGCGCCTAGATATGTCTTGTGTTGCTGTGTGCTGCACGCCCTGCGAGCGGGGCGGGGTGCGCACTGACCCTCTATGTTCGTGTGCGTCGCCCATCTCTCCCTGGAGATGACTGCTCTATTTATTTATTTATTACTGGGCCCAGTGTTGTGCCAAAAAAAGAAATTTGACGCGCAAAAGAAAGAGAGAAGTAACAGACAAACCCAGACGAGGGATGGGGCAGGAGGACAGGGTCCACACCTGCACGAGCAGGATTTTGGAAGGACGATCAGGGGCACAGGTGGCTCTGCTCCTGACAAGGGACACGACAGGCTCGCAGCGCGGTGCATGGTGGACTCCCGACTCCACTGGCGGTCTCATCTCAGTCTAGCGACCTGCCTCCAGCTTCGACCTGTGCAGCAAGTATTTTCCAGCCGATGGGTTCGATTTTCTTTTTTCGCGTCGTTTTCTTTTTTAGTGCACTCAGACCAACAAGAAATCACGTTCATTCACGACTTGTGTGTGAGAGAGATTTTTATTAACCAACAAGAAATCACGACTCTCACAGTGATTTGGGCTCGGCAGCTTGTTAGCCCTCAGCCGAAGCTGGGGCCGGTCCCGTAGCCGAGAGAGCCCGCGCCGATGAGTTCGACGCGGTCGGGGGGGCCTGCGGAGAGGCCAGCGAGTTGGCGATCGCTGTACTTCATGGCGCCCTCAAAGTGGGGCTGGAGGCTGACAAGCCAGAGGTCGATACTCTGGACGACCCATAGGATGCCACGAATGCCTGAAGGAGAGGGAGGCGAGGCCAGAGGCAGGCTCAGCTGCTCTCGGGTGATCCCGCTTTGGAGGCTGAAGGACCCGATGGTCCTGTCACATTCGCGTTCCGAGTCGTGGGGGTAGAAGAATTCGAGTAGAAATCGAGTCAGCACTTCCTTGTAGTACAGCGGACCGCCAGGCTCGCCGGCAGCATCCGCAGGGAGGCAGCATATGTGTGTGTGTGCGCGCGCGCGGGCGTAGTGCGAGCCGCCCCGAACGACCACATGGTGAGCGCGCCCGAGCACCGAAGCCCCGCGAGCGCCGGCGAGCACCGCCGCCCGCGCCTTGGCGTGGAGCGGTAGTAGATGATGCCGCACGCAGCAAGAGCAAGAAACCTAAGGGTAATTCCGCTGCTCACTGGATCTCGCGCCCCCACCCAGCGCTCCGTCGCTTCAGACCTCTCGCGTGTCCGTCACCCTCAGACCTCGCGTGGCAGCAGACTCTCCTCATGGGCGGAGGAGGCCGCACATCCTCCTTCGCGCCCAGCCACAGCCTCAACACCTCTACTCCCTTTCTCCTCGGCAGCGCGCTCGCCTCGGCCCTCTTCGCGTGCCTGGCGTCGCACACCGCCGTCAGCCTCTCTGCGGTGGCTGCAGTCGCCAGCGTGGTTCTCTGCATCTCTGCTGGCCTCCGCTGGGTCGTTGGTGACCCATTGCGCGACACCGCCGCGCACGGCTTCGGCCCTCGATGTACCGCGCTGGCCGCCGCCGCGACGCCCGCAGCGCCGAAGCTCGACAACAACGGCAGCTGCGACGGCGGCGAGCCGCCCGCAGACCTGTCCCAGGAGGAGCTGCTGCTGCTGCAGTACTTCTTCGCGATCACCTTCCGGCTGGGCGACGACGAAGCGGCGATCTCCAGCATCTGGTGCATGACGGGCGGCGGCAAGCCGCTTCCGAGCGCGCCAGACCAGCTCAACTTTACCGCGATCCGGTACCACCTCTCGTTCGTCGCGTACGCCACCGCCGCCATCTGCATGCGCACCCCGCTCCTCAAGGCGCAGGGCGGCGCGGTGCTCGGCTGGGTCATGCGCCAGCTCCTCTCTCCCCGCGTCTTTCGGTACTGCGACTTTTACTGGCCGGCGGACGGCTCCGCCTCCTAGAAGCGGAATACGCATACACGTCTCCCAACCATGTCTC